CCCCCGACCCCCACAACAGCAACAACGGGGGGCCCCTCGGGGGCCCCCCGGGGGCCCCCCCTTTTCCTTTTCTTTTTCACCCCCAGCCTTCTCTCAGCTTCTTCAAATTCTTCTGCTGCGTAGTAGTAGCCTCCGTTTGCTGCTGCTGCTGCTGCTGCTGCTGCTGCTGCTGCGGCGCCCGCAGCGGCGCTGAACGACTGGCCCGGCGCTGCTGCTGCTGCTGCTGCTGCTGCTGCAGCAAACGTGGGCCTCCCCCCTTCTCCCTGCCAAGCCCCCACAGCCCGCTGACCCCCGGGGGCCCCCAAACGGCCCACGGGGGTGCCCCCCTGGGGACCCCCCTGGGGGCCCCCCATTAGGGCCCCCATATCAAGACCCATTTCTTCCTCATCCATGTCGTATTCTTCATACAAGGGCCCCCCCTGCATGCTGGGGCCCCCCTGCATGCGGGGGGCCCCCTGCATGCGGGGGACCCCCTGCATGCTGGGGCCCCCCTGCATGCGGGGGGTCCCCTCGAGGGGGCCCCCAAAGGCGCCTTGAGGGCCCCTTTGCGTGCGGGGGCCCCCCTGCATGGGGGGCGCCCCCTGCATGCGGGGGGCCCCCTGCATGCGGGGGCCCCCAAAGGCCCCCTGGGGGCCCCTGGCATGATATGTTCTGGGGCTGGCCACGGGGGGCCCCCCATCTAGGGGCCCCTCATCCAGGGGCCCCTCTTCAAGGGGCCCGCCTAGGAGGTGTTCCTCTATGAGGCCCCCATCTAGGGGCCCCTCGTCCAGGGGCCCCTCATCCAGGGGCCCCTCATCCAGGGGCCCCTCCAGGGGCCCCTCCAGGGGCCCCTCATCCAGGGGCCCCCCATCCAGGGGCCCTCCATCCAGGGGCCCCTCTAGGGGGCCCTCCAGGGGCCCCTCCAGGGGCCCCTCCAGGGGCCCCTCTAGGGGCCCCTGGTGAAGGGGGGCCCCCACTAGGGGCCCCTCCAGGGGCCCCCCCAGGGGCCCCTCCAGGGGCCCCTCGTCAAGGGGGGGCCCCAGAATGGGCTGTTGGAGGTGTTTGTGGGGGGGCTGCTGGAGGTGTTTGCTGCTGCTGCTGCTGCAGGGGACCGGGACTTTGACTTTTCTTTTGCTGCACTTGCGTTTGTAAACAGTTTTGAAGCATTTGTATTGCTGCTGCTGCTCCGTGGGTCTGCGGCAGCGGGAGGGGACTGGAAGAGACACAAGGAGACACTGCTGCTGCTCGCGGGTCTTGAGGCAGTGCTGCTGCTGCTGCTGCAGCACGGGGCGGCTGCAGCTGCTGCGCACCTGCACTGTGACCATTCTGCACTGCCGCTGCTGCTGCTGCTGCTGGCAAGGATAAGTCTCTTCTTTGAGGACTTCGCGGAAGCAAGTGGCGGGGACTTGTGCTGCTTCCCAGCGACAGACTTGCTGCTGCTGCTGCTGCTGCTGCTGCAGACACGGGAAGCTGCGCGGCACCTCCACCACCCGCTCGCACATTTGCTGCTGCTGCTGCACCACTCGCCTGCAGCGCCGCTTCCCGCATTCATATTCTTCAGTTTCCATTTGCTGCTGCAAGCAAGTGCTTTCCACTTCTCTGCACTGCTGCTGCTGCTGCTGCTGCACGCAGGGGTACTCTTCCTGCTGCTGCACCTCTTTGCTGCAGCTGCCCGCCACCTCCACAGCCACGTCTTCGCACACTTCCACTGCAGCAGCAGCAGCAGCAGCGCATGCAAAAGCTTCTTTAACAGCAACAACTCTTTCGCAAAACCCTTCCCGCAGCACTGGCACAGTTTGGCACA